TTATAAATTTTATTAGGTAATTTGTAATTTGAATTAAACTCTTTAAATAATTTTTAGATAATTTTTTGTTTATAAAAACTCTTTTTTTATATTAATAAATAAATACTGAAATATTAAAACACTGAAACTCTGTAAATATTTAATAATAGTATAGATATACGCACATGACAAAATTCTATTGCATGTGGTAAATTGATAATTGAATAATGTATATATAATAATAAAAACAACATCATGAAACAATATTTTATATACCATTATAATAAAAGGAAATTGTTCTAGCACCTTTAGTAATAGTGGTAGCTTATCAAAAGTTAGTATCTTCTAACTTTTTGTATTACAATAGACAAAATTAATTTATGATTTTTAGATATTAAAATTCAACCCCTAGGCATGACACGTTATATGTCATATATATATATATATATATATGGCATGACACGTTATATGTCATATATATATATATATTTTTTTTTTTCTTTCTAAAAAACTATATCTTGATTTTATTTCTAATCGATCATTTTTAAAAATTTTGTTTTGGCAAATAATAACTCCTTGACAATTGATAAATTTGAGTTACATACATTTAACAAGATATGGAATATTATTGAAGAGTTTCTTCAAATTTTGATGATATGGTAAATTATAGGTCCATTTTCATTCATCTCCTCATAAATAATTGAAAATAAACCAAAGGCATTGTTTTTATATTTAAAGAAAAAATATATAAATAGCAAAATAGTATAGCATGGGGTAATTTTGAATTTTTCTTTACTTAATTTTCTATAATTTAATTTACATGCTTATTTACTCACTTTAACACATTTACATTTTTCAATAATTACTTCGTCGCAGTTTATAAAAGTGTAAGAATTTTTCATTATTTATATACATTTTCATTAATATTATCATATATGTAATTCAAAAGAGAAAATCCAATTTTTGGTACATTGTTTCCCCTTATGAAAAATAATTCCTAAGGCCTATAAGGTTCAATCTCAAGTGAAAGTAGAGTATGGAATGGACGAAAATGCCCCCGAATGCATTAAATGCCAAAATTAAATATTTGGATGCAAAAATAAAACTTTAAACATACATACAAAGAAAAGTGGCACTTGAACTCATTTACAATATTGTTTTGAAATATTATAAACGTACATCCTCAAGGTTAAAATACCGGCTTACAATTCCATGAAATTAAAATACATTATTGAGTGTATAACACCAATTTATATATTAAATTATACAACAAATGTAAACGTAAATAAATGAAAACATGTCATGAACTCCGATTGTCGTCCCAAGCGACTCATTTCCTCAAAACTCTCATTTTCTTTTAAAGGTTTAATATTTATACATTAAAACGGTATTGTGACTTAAAAGGTACTTTGATTGAGGTATTTTCATTAAAAGATTTAATCTTTCCTCGTAAAAGCATTTTTTGTGACTTCAAAAGGAATTCGAATAAGTTTAACTCAAAAAATGTTTTACTTGAATAAGTGAATTAGGCCCAACTATTTAGAAATAATGCTGGGACTGGGTTACTTTAGTTTCCCAATGTGGACCAAACTAATCATTGCAATTAGTTTGCAATAGTCCAAAGGCCCTTTTTTGAGGCTTATGTTTGTTGGGCCCATTTTTTGAGGCTTATGTTTGTTGGGCCTAGTAGAACGTTTTCCTATGAGGATTCGTTTTAGGCCCACACTACTTGCTACTAATCAACATTTACTCTTTGGGTGTAACAAAATCCCTTTAAAGGTTATATAATGCTCATATTAATATGCTTGAGACCAAAGAAAATAGAGCCTCACAAAAAAAAAAAAAAAAAAAAAAAAAAAAATGTAAAACTAACAAAAAGGATGTAGTTCTTGATGTTGTAATTCATTGTAATATAGTTAAACCAGCATGTGCATGTGTATCATTGTTTAATTAGACACACTTACGATTTTGATAACCAAATCACTACAACTATCATCAATAGAAAACTAATTAAACAATGATACACATGCACATGCTGGTTTAACTGTAATAAAACCTCTGCTTGCTCTCACAAAGGGCGATAATTATTTAATTTTACCTTATAATACAAGATTATTTATAAGTAAAAAATATTTCATTATCTATTAGATACATATAAAAATATATGTAGCTAAACTTTAGCTTATGATGTATCCTTTACTAATAATAGACACACAAGAAGAAGATTTGCAGATATCTAAGTCAAGATGAAATAGATAAGTACAAAATAAATCAGAAAGGTCAAATATATATTACAGAACAAAGTAAAGTAAATGATATGTAGTCTTCCCTACATTTGATGTTGAGACTTCCAGAAGCTTCGGTTTTGGGTTTGAACTTACAAAAGGCCCCCTTATGAGACTAGTAGAAGTTTTGGGGGGCCTAAAGTCCTTCTGGGCCATATATTATAGTACTATATATGATTTGTATTGCTAAAGTTTGCATTGATCAAAATCTCCTTTTTTTTTTCAGTATTGGGCTTAAGAAACTCAAGCAACAATGCTATTGGGTTTAAATTAACTAAAACCCCAATAAGAGTAATAGAAGGCTGAATTTTTGGGTGCCATGTTTGGGTATATGCACCCGTCCTTCTCAGCTATATTTAGTTTCTTAAGCCCAATAGTGAAAAAAAGAGATTTTGATCATTGCAACTTTTAGAGATTATGTCTTCGTAACTAAAACCCCAATAAGAGTAATAGAAGTCTGAATTTTTGGGTGCCACGTTTGGGTATATGTACGCGTCCTTCTCAGCTATATTTAGTTTCTTAAGCCCAATAGCGAAAAAAAGAGATTTTGATCATTGCAACTTTTAGAGATTATGTCTTCGTACGAAAAAATAAAATAAAAAACTATTTTTTAATTTTAACAATGCCAACCAAATATTGATTTATACACTGGTTATTTATACATAAATGGTAACTCTTATCATGATACTGAAGTCACACCTTAGTTAACACTTTTAGTCATGATCAAACTTGTTAGATTATACTAATGGTATTTTACCCTTACCTCACCTAAGATTTTTGTACATTACACTAGTGCATTTTATAACACTCGTTTACCCGGTTATCTTATATAAAGCCTATTTGTGTAACACTCACCAACTCCAAACACTTTTCTATAAATAGGATCTTATGTACTTTTCATCAATGCAAGTCCATACAATATACAGTTTCAATATTTCGAACATGATATTAGAGCTCGTCGATCTTTAATAATAATATTCTTAGTCGATCATTGTCACTATTGGGAGATGACACCATCAACCTCATCCCCGGCAATCAATTGTCAAAGTTCTACAAAAACATTAATTCTCATTTTCCCCTCTGCTGACAAACATTATGCTTCACCACTGCCCACATTCATCAATGTGTTTACAGATCCGCCACAAATGTGTCGGGCCACTATGCTTCCATGCACCTCCAATGGTCTTCACGTCAATGTGCTTCTGTGCACCTCATTAAGCTGGATCTTCTCCGATGGTAATCATGCACTCACACAAACTCCTATGCGTATCGCTTACCGCTATATCAACTATTCACTTCAACCAAGCACAATGACCTGTTTTGATTGATGATATATTCAACAAATCTCTTCTGCTAAGCCGCTTTAATGATCTTGTCTCCAAACTCAAGTTGGCTTTACGAGTTTGAGAGCCTTTAGATTATACATATTTACTATTATACCCTTTACCTACCATATAGGGTTTTTTGCACACTACACTCATACGTACCTTGTATACCACTCATCTATCATAGTTGTCTTATATAGAATACCTGTGTAGCACTCACCAACTCGAAACCCTCACCTATAAATTGGACCTTATGTACGGCTCATTAATGCAATTCTATACAATGAACAGTCCCAATACTTCTATATATCAAACCGAAAGAGGAAGAAAAATAATAACTAAAGGGGGTGTTACAGTTGCAGAGTAGATCAGCTCATCCTCCCATGGTTGATGTTCTGCTAATGGAAACATCAGATTACAGCTTAGTTGCTTCAACTTTCACCATCAAATCAAGAGACTAGTCAAATTTTAGTCAATTAAAACTTAATAATTTTGATGAAGAGTTAGTCAAATTTTGTCTTGTGGCAACTAGGACCTTACCAGTGGACTCTTTGGAGTCTCCTTAGTTTTCATTAAGTCAGCTCTCCAATAACATGTGTTAAGTGCACCACTGTACTGTGTTTTACGCTTTTTGCTCATCTCAGCTTTGAACTTTGGTTCTTTGTGTTCTCCATCTTTTCACATTCAACAACTCTGATTTCTTCTAGAAACCATCTCTAAGGCCATAAAAATTCCAAATCATTCATGCACTGACAGAAAGCTTAGTGAGGTCCACATTGGAAAGCAATCAGGTGTTCCACTATTTTCCATTCAACCATTGGGTGATCATTTCTTTGAATCAAGAGTATGCTCTATGAATTTCCTTCCATTGTTTTTGGCTGTTGAAACAATTAGTTGGATAAAGACAATATCTTTATGAGTTTTTAGCTTACTATTCCCTATAACTTTTTCTTTTTCTTTTTCTTTTTTGAAGATTTTCAGGTTTTCACAAATTCATAGGAATCAATCTACTGTATAGGCTTTATGAAATAGAGCATTAATCTGGTTTTACATGGATCATAAATTGATTCAAGTACATTTTAGTTAAAATAAAATAAAATATGGCCTTCATAACTAATTTGTTACACGGAAGTCACTTTTCTAACGTTTAGCAAAATGTAGTGGGGAGGATTGCAAATGTTTGAATTGGTATAAGTTAAGGAAGATTTGTTGCCAAGTCTTTTAACAAGTTGTCTGACATGTAAACTATAATATATCTTTCTTCAGCATGTTTGAGCCAGAAATGGAACTATGTGTGATATCTGTGATGCAAAGTATAATTACTATGTTTCATTGTCTTTTTTTAGTTAATATTATTATTGTTATCCCACAATATGTACTGCAAAAAATACCAAATTATGATTCACATTACTAGCTCAAACAAAGAAGTTACGGGATTAACCATGGAATTATGATCAATCTAAGGCTATTAGACTTTTCTCTTGAGCAATTATTGTTTTTGCCACTTATGCTCATAAAGCTACAATATTGATCCTAATAAATACAAATTATATATAGTAATTAAACACTCGACCTATTTCATCTATACAAACACCCTCTGTATGCTGGTGTCCAGTAGTCTGATCCCGCAGTGTTATCACGATAAACTTGAGGGGTACATGAAATTGGAACCAAACAAAGACCTCTGCTCTTGAGGTCAAGCTTTGCTTCCCCTCTGTCTTTTCTATCCATGCCTCCCCATGAATCCTGGAATTTTAAGCACCCAGATATTTAACAATACTTATAGTTTATACTTTCCATATTAATTAAGAAGTGTACATGTGTATATATATATATATGTATATATATATAATATAATTGACAAGTATATATAGTAATTCACTACCTTGCTTGCATTAGTCTTCAAGTAAGGGTTGCTCAATAGCTGCATATATAAGATTAAAGCAACAATTGTTATATTTCATATATAGCTTACAACATATGTGATAAGATGGATAAATTAAATATATGTGGATAAGGAAAGGTAGTAAAATTAACGCGCTATCTCATGAGATTAAGATAGGCTTTATAGATTACGATAAGGATTACAGATTACGATAAGGATTAAACCTACAGATTACGATAAGGATTATAAATTACGATAAAGATTAAACCTTCAGATTATGATAAGGATGAAAACAGTGGTAACTCTACGTGACATCCTGACCTAAACCCTATAAATAAAAGGGGCTAATCTACGTTTGGAGGTACGAAATAAATCCTAATTCAATTTCTTGATTTCTCCAGAGAGATTACTTCGCACACTAACTTGTTCGTCGGAGCCTACTCCACCGGTAACACACCGGTGTTTATAGGATCACATTTTCTTCTCTTTATTCAAGAAGTTAGATCAGATCCGAATTGCGCAGAATCCATCATTAACAATATGTATGATTTTTTGTCAAACGTCTATTCCAATAGTTAGATCAATGCTATTGATCTTCAAGACCGAGGCTAATGTCACATCTTAGAGTTAGATGATTTCAATTTCACTGTGAAACTCACATTATCCAACATTTAAGATGCGACAGTCACTCACTAGCAGTTGTTTATTTATTATTTTTTGGTACAGTTGCAGTTACTACTAATTGTAAATTTCTTTCATATATATTGGAGATTACATCAGTTATTACTCTATTATATATCCCTAAATCTAAGGATATAACCATTTTTATTTTGCTTCTCTTGTGCTTAAAGCAGTGACATGAATAGAAGATGGAAGAACTCAAAATACCTGCATCTGTGTATATATATATATATATATATATATCCTTATTTTAGTCAGTATAATTAAATTGCCATCTATATCATTTTGATTATAAATATCTCTTAACATTTACCTAATCTTCTGGGTAATGGATTTGAGGTATAGAATGCTTACAATGGCAGCAGCAACAGAAACATCAAATAGTAGTAATAATATAATATACTGCATGTATTTACATTTAAGTAATATGTTATCACCTGTACTTGCTCTTGTAGACACCTTATGTAATTAATTGCTTCCCACAGCACAGATGCAGTGTCTGTCTGAAAATTATCAAAAGAATGATACTGAAGATTTGATTTACATATACTATATATATGTAAATCAATAAAATTAATGATGCATGGTAAATCTTTACAGAAGAAGTGCTTTCTGCTAACCTTCCCGAACGGTGATACAATTTGCTGAAGAGCAGTGATTTTGTCCCCAAGTTTCACTTTCGGACCTTGCATCTTTTAATTAAATGAAAATAAATGGAGATTTTACAGACAAACAAACAAGCTTGAGGTTTAATTGATAATATAAAAAATATATATTTTTTTGAGTATATATACACTACCTTTACTGATGTGACTGTGGAACTCTCTTGCTTAGGCTTCTTTTGGACTGTGTCTGAGTTCTCTTCACTTCTTTTCTTCTTCCCTTCATTTGTAATCCCCTGGCCTCTTCCATTGTTTCTTGTTAGTGTGTGACATTTTGATATTGTTGGCTGCTGAAACTTTTGTCACAAAAAAAAAAAAAAAACAATTAACTATTTAATGATTAAAAAAAAAAAGGGTTAATTTTACTGATACGCCCCTCAGGTTTAGTCAAATATCATCTTCAAATATATTTCGAAAATAACTATTACTTACATTACAAACTTTTGCTCCGTTTTTCACTCCCTAACCGTTACTTGCGCAGTTCTGACATAATATAAAATGACTTAAATATCCCTTAATTTTGTCAAAACAATTCTTTAATTTGATTAATTAGATAAAAAGACTAAAATATCCCTAAATATTTTATAAATTTACAAATCATATTATATATCTTTATTGTTTCTTATGTTTTATATATATATATATATATATATATATATATATATATATATATATATACATATGTTATATTTTTGCCGAATCCGTGTATTGGCGGGTGTGCAGGTGATAGATGGGTTTAACAATGAAGGTATAATAGTCATTTAAGTAACTTGGTATTTAAGAATAAATGGGATTAAAAAATTAGGGGCAAAGTAGTCTTTTTTTATGTTTTTAACGGATACTGTGACAGAAAAGTAAAAATAAACCTAAGTGATAGTTATTTTTTAAATATATTTGAGGGTGATATTTGATCAAACCTAAGTGAGGTGTAAATGAAACTTAAAAAAAAAAAAAAATAGGAATAATTGGTTCTAACATGCATGTTAGGGTTATTAAAAAAAAACTGCATCATGAGAGAGTACACTGATAAATTTCATAGCAATTACTCCTTCCGTCCCATATTAGTTATCAATTTCAGAAATTTTGACTCACAATTTTTGTGAGTCAAAGTTATCGAAATACATCTCTAATATGAGATATAGGTAGTATATAAGTATGTTAAAGGAATATGACTAAAATTAATATCAAATGATTCAAAAATAAAAAGTGATAGTAAGTCAAATTTTTTTAAATTGATAACTATTATGGAACAGAAATAGTAATAAATATTGGAGCCAACAATAAATATCAAGCACTAAAATACACACAAGGCATGTACATGTGTGCGTGTGTGAAAGAGAGAGAGCTTACTTGGGGAGAATTTTGAATGTCCTGCTTCTTACAATCAGACAAATTCGAGGACTTCAAATTGGGTTTGGGTGCATGAATATCCACTAATGGCTTGCTTAAACAGTTACTTCCAAAAGAAATAACATCTGCAAAACTTCTTGCATTAGTGCATGGCACATCTGGCATTCCATAATAGTATTTCATGTTATCTCCTACTACTGAGTTGTTAAGTCCCATTTGATACCCAATCCCATTAGAACTGTTAAACGACCTTCTAAACAAAGCCCCATTAGGTGCCTCAACCTCTTGCAGTTCATTCTCGACCTTCATATCATGACCATAACACGGAAGCGATCCGAAATTCCGGTTTATGTCTCCTTTGCATGATATTGTTGAATCACTACTAATTGTTTGCTTCATATGACAATTATTAGGATCAAATTGGTGATTGACTTCGGGGTCTGGAGGTGCAAGAGACCAGTTGCTGACCAAATTTGAGAGCTTGTTTAGCCTTTCGCTTTCGATTAGGGTTTCATTGAATCCATTAAATTGCTTTTCGAAATTGTTGAAAGATGAAGGATTTGTGAATTCCCAACTGTTGTCCATTTTCTTCAAGTAGTCAAAGGCAGGCTCAAACATCCCTGTAGATAAATTCTTGGGTGGTACTATGTCCAGTAAGTTCTCTCTAACATCCTGACTGTTGTGCAATTCTCCACTGCTTCCCACACTTCTGCAATGTTTATTTCTTATGATGATCTTCTTGACAAAATAAAATATAACAGAACCATAATATATATATATATATACAGGTGCATATAAACTACAATCAAACTTTTCTAATCTTGTTTGTATGCTTTGAGAAAAGCTAGATGGATGAATTCTCATTGTGTACCCTTAGTTTTTTTTTGTTTTATATATATATATATATATATCCTTACCCAAAACTAAAATAAAAATAATCATCTTGATTAGCTGCATATAGATAACTTAGGATCCTTATACATGCATAAGAATAACCATACAATACAATATTTGTCCACATAAAATTGTTGTAATTTTTTTTTTTTTAAGTGGATAAATCTATATATAAAAGGAAAAGAACCGTCTAAGGAATCCCATAAAATTGTTGTTGCAGAGAAAATATGATAATAAAAATCATGCATGAGATGCTTATCTTCTTTTTCTATGGGTGGATGCAATCCAAGAAAAAATGGGAGTGTTGGAACATAAAAATCAGTTACTTGAGTCCACTTATTATGCATAATGATAAAGAAACAAACTAAACAAATAAATAAAGAACATGAACTATGACCTCCCTCTATGTGCCACCTACCCATTAGAGCAACCTTTTCTCTTTTTCTTTTGCAGCTAAAAGATTCTTTTTCCCACCCAATTCTATTAGCTCAAGATGGATAATAATAACATATAACAAGTATTTTCATGTATTTTTGGTTGATCAAACAATCAATTACTTACAAGAGAACATGGCTCCATAGATGATTATCTGAAGCTGCTTCTCCGATTAACTCATTGGCCGGAGCAGACTCAATGAACCGTCTAGAGGAGTCGACGCTTAGGCCGGAGTGATTGGAAGCATTAGTAAAAGATGTAGAGATGGAAACATCCTCCTCACAAGAAGAGTTTGAATTAGGGTTTTGAGGGTGCCATTGGTTGGTGTTGGTAGTGCTACTACTCCATGATGAGAGAGAGTTTGCATGGAGGTCTGGCCACCAGTTTGGTGTCGAGGATATAGTGGTTGCAATAGAGCTTTCAGTGCATTCTAATTCAGCCATATCTGTAATTGGAAATGTCCAGACACTAGCTCTTTTTTTGTTTGCTGTTGTTGGTGGAAGGTTGGAATTTAAGGAGGATATAATCGTTGGTGGTGACGTATAGGTTTATAGGTTTGATATATATATATATATATCAATTGGTAGAGTATAGGACAGACAATAAAATATGGCAACCAGACTTCTTCCACTGAGATTCGTGGGAAATTATTTTAGTTGTGGCGGGGCCAGCAGCAGTTTGATTTAATTTCTCTCTCTCATTATCTATACATAACCACCATTCTACATACACACCCGTACATAGACACTAACCCAAAATAATCACTATAATATTGCTTTGCAGAACATAATCACTAACCCAAAATAAAGAAGTTTAGCTTTTAATAATATATCATTATATTTGCTAAAAAGTTATATTACCTTTGTCCCAAAAATAAATAAATAAATAAAAATTCATCCTTTCATTTTTAGCTCTCCTAAAATGAAAGTCTCATTTGAAAAGTCTAAGTAGATACCATTTTTTGTAACATTACCAATTCAACAATCTTGCATTGAATTTATAAAAAGTAATCATTACATCCGTAGATTCATTATGAATTTTTTTTATTTTTTTTTGTTAGTTACGGATAAACTTGTATTGATAATCAGAATAATTACAGGGTGCCCTCATCGAGGAGGGAAAACGAAATAAGACAACATTAAGGCCGAGGCCATTAACAATATCACGACAACCATTGAAATATGGCAGCAACTAAAACTTCTTGACAGTGTAACAAAAGCAGAGTGACTGTCCAATGTGCAACTTCTGCCTTCCAATCCATCCAATCACAGCATCCTGACTCATCCAATCAAAGCAACCTGAATCATCCAATACCTCAATTACCTCTGATATAAGCTTTATGTAATCAACCAAGAGTGCCCATATGCTGTTCCACATGCTTGTACAAACAAGCTGTGAAGTTCTTCCTCAGTTGAAAAACTTTCTATATCAACACAACTTTTCATCTTGATTGCTGCAAGCTTAGCTCTGACACAAGACTTGACTTGAGAGAAGATGTGATTAGGGGTAGTGTATGAGTTTCTGAAGGCTCTCCCATTTCTCTCTAACCAGAGATAATCAATTGCTGCAGACAACAAACGTTTGTGAACCAGAAATCTTCCTGAAGACCAATGTGTTGGGCACCATCAGATCAGTTCATTTCAGGAGTTGGGAAGAATGTAGAAGCCTGCAACTTCTTGTATAGCATTCCAAACTTGTGAACTAAAATGAATAATTTGATAATTCATTCACTACCAATAAAATAAAAAAATATTAGCTAAAACATATGCTCTTAAAAAGTTAGATGTAGGGAGTATTATGAAAGCTAAGAAGTAGGGATACGGATCTGGGATAAGGTATGACATGATACAAATACGATGATATAGAAAATTTGAATATAAAAAAATAGGAATACGATATGGATATGTTAAAAAATAATAATATATATAATATAATTTTTTATGTATAAATAATAATTTTTACTCATTAACAATTCAACTTTGGAGCTCAGAGCTAGATGTTCATTATTTTTGTTTTCTTAAATCTCATATTATGTTTCTAATTAACCTATAGTATATTTTAAACTATATTGAGTCCCATTTTTCTTAGAAGTAGGTATAACTATAAAGCCATCGTGCCATGTCTTGAAAGTGTCCAAAGCATATTATCACCATGTCTATGCTGTGTCTAACTAAAAAATAACATATTTAAATTTAAGATATTTCTAGCTGTATCTGACACGTGTCCAAGCTATATGTCATTTCACCTACTATATTTAACTTTTAAAAATATCGTGCCATGTTAACTTTGTGAGTAGCACAGTGTGGAAGCTATTATGTTGATTTAGTTGTAAAAATAGGAACAGTAAAATAAAGCAAATAAAGTAGAAACGACCTCCATAATCATAAAACTAAGAACAGTAAAGTAAAGAAAGTAAAGTAGAGTTTGAAAGATGATACCTAAGTTTTTTTGCGTGAAAATCCTTGTTAGAAGAAATCCAACCAACCGGGATGAAAACTATGGAGACTTTCGCAGTTCCGAGTAAAACGATCTACTAGTGTTGAAGCAAAGTACAATAGACTCTAACTCAAACTCACACCCACTTCGCTCTATCCAGTACCAATCACTAAACTTCTCTTTGGTTTTGAGACTACCCCGATCCAAATGCATTAGGTTTACACCTTAATCATTGTAGAAGGGTTACTGGTAAAACAACAAACACTCCTTTTCCTTTAAATTTGAATTTTGTGAAAGTTAAAAGAAAACTCTGCTGTTATGATCAATTTCTATAATCTAAAGTATATTCTAGAGATTATGTACGATGATCAGAAGAAGAATATCACGCTAAATCACTTTTGTGTTTAAGTGTATGTTCTCAAAAATAAACAATGAGATTTTCCTGAAAATCTCTCTAAAAAAGCTTCAAGATTCATGTGAAAGATGAAAACTTGTTTTTCCAATTAAAGCGTTCAATCTCTCATAGGGTTAGAGATATGATCGGTTTATATATGCTAAAGAGTCCTCATAAAATGTGTAAAGAGGTAATGTTAAAAATGTACAAGGAAATCCTTAGGAGTTTTGGAAAAAATAGGAAATTAAAAAGTTACCAAAAATTGAAATCCCGCACATCCTAGAAAACACAACTGATTCTGTTTGAAACGCAATCGGTTCTATTTTTGTAGCAATTCTGATCATAAAAAGTGCAACCAGTTGTGTTTTAAAGTGTAATAACCCAAATTCAATGGATCCGAGTCATTAACGGATGAAGCAACCCAACTGGGTCCTTACCCGAACCCGATGACAAACTAAGGGTAAAAAGGTCATTTGACATTATAACGTTGGTTAATGGCTTTATTAGAAGCCTACTGATCATTAATGGTGCATCTAACATGATTGGAATGAAGTCTTGGGTCATGGTCAAAAGTCTCCAAAATATACTAAGGATAGGAGCTACAATTGATTGCAGGGCACTGTACGATCGATCGTACAGTGTCCTGGTTACATCCGTGTGCGCAAGGCACTACATACGCCCGCACAAGACATGGCAAACAACTACGATTAAGCGTAGGGAGCTATGATCGATGCCCAAAACCTAACTTTCTCTACTACAATGAATTGAACCTTGAATTAAAAATGTGAGCACTATGATTGATCAAAGGATTGCTATTATCAATCGTAGAAACCCAGAAATTGATACTTTGTTCCTTTTAAAACACTTTTCCTCTTTAAATTTGATTTTCGTCATTGGACCATTTCTAAAATGCCCCAACTCACATGCATAAATAATGAAATGCCAATGTACATTTGTATATATGAATACTAATTGGTTCAATTACATGCAAAATCCGTCATCATTCATTTAAATTACATAACCAAATACTTCTTTACATCCCCATATACAAAGTAGCTCTAGCGTCACCATATACATGCCCAAAAATAAATAATTTCGTCCAAAAGAATATAGTTACATGGTTAGGACCATTATGGTTACATTTACAAAGCCTTACACCAATAGGTACCAAAAATATACAAATTCGAAGTAATGGTCATCCTCCTACACTAGGCAAGTCACAAAATGAATCAAAGAGAGTAATTATGCCCACTTCTATGCTTGTGGAGGTGCGTTATCTACTAATTCTTTTCCATGCCCTGAAATGTTAAATAAGGAGTGATCGACACTCGTTTAGTAGGAAATGCTGAAATCACACTCTTTGAGCTCTCGTGACCTAAACTCCCAAAGAAAGGGAAATAGGTAGCATGGGGATCATGATTAGAGGGGAAACATAGTTCATGAGTGATACACAAGTTCATAATAGACAAGGACAAATCAAAATAGTCGTCAATGCCAATGATCATGAGCCATGTAATGATATGCAATCCCATTACCCCCAAACTCACACAACTCACACCAAAACCGTTAACCAACTTTACCGAGTCGAAGTTGACCAATTATCCATGGCCTCTCAATGACGACCATTTGGGGCCTAGTTAGGTCAACTATATACGTCCTACCAGGCATGTACTTCCTCTTAGTTGAGTTACCCACCCTATAATACCCCTATATTTTAAAGGATTTATTTATTTAATTTAATTACTTTTAATTTAATTGAGTTAATTTCTTTAATTTAATTGGGTGTTTTGATTGATTGTCTTGTTTATTTAAATTATATTTTATAATTATACTTGATGATTGGATATGATGTTTTGCTTGATTCGAATGCGTTGATTTGGTGGTCTGTAGGACTACTCGTGTGTTTTGTTTGGGTGTATGTATTTGTTATTAATTTGTAATTAATAGTTTAAATTGATTTATTTAATGTTGGGTTTAAGGAAGTGTTGGACCTAAGGATGTGGTCTTGGCCTTTAGAGGGAGCTTTGGTGGGTTGATCAGATAAGGCACGTGGTTTTATGGTTATATACATATATTTACATATATTTATTATATATATATAAATATATATATATATAATGAGTGTTATATATATACATATTTTATATATACGTAATTATTTATGTAGTAGTCTGACTACGAAAAGGACTAGGGTTGGGATTATGTATATATGTATGTGTATATATATATACATCGTAAGTTTTATAGAAGGGTTTCACGTTAGAAGAAAAGATAGGAGGCAGAGAGGAAAAAGGGAGTGACGAGCCCCTTTCTATGTGATAAAAAACCGACTTTTTAATTCGAGAGGTCACTTCGCAAGGTCAAAATATGATTGTGGTTTAAGAAGCCTTTCTAATCAAATTTACATTTATTAAAACCACTACTACAACTAATGAAGTATAGCGAGTAGGGATCGTCTGCAGCGATTATATGTGTTGGAATTTAACTTCGACTCTAGCGTATCAAAAGATTACAAAGGAGGGTTGGTTGTTTAATTACACTAAGATGTAATTAATTAAAATGCAATTAAAGTAAACTAGTGAGAGATAGGGATTTAAGAGATATGAAGAGAGGTTTTAGGGTGTTGGAATCACTACTAAGCTCATGTAATTAACCACTTGCTTTCCATTAATGGGGAATGTATTATTGCAGTCTAGATGTGGCCACAAACATA